AGATGAGTACGTGGAGGATTCTGAGTAGGAAATAATATTACCCACAGCTTGGAGGCAAAGTATGGCAAAGACATGGGCTATAAGAGCTTGAGAGCCTACTGAGGGATGGTTCTGCCATCCAGTGAGCCTGGTACAGGGTGGCTGACTGTCTTTTCCACAGGTTTTACATGATTCCCTACAAATGAGTTGTGTTTCTGCTCCTTTTCCTGACAACCCTATGGAGCTGTGACTGTTGTGCTTGGTGAAGATCCTATCACAGTCCAGCTGAAACCACTTTACAGCCATACTACCAACAATTGTGGTAATGCAGTTTCCCTGCCTGCTGGGCAGGGATATTAATCTGAGGCACTCTATCTGAAACTGACTTTTCTTCTACATAATTATATGAGAGAAACTTGTTTCTCTGTCTTGCTATCAACTGTGTCTAAACACAGTTGTAGCTAATGCAGTTTTGGCTGTTTGGCAGAATTTACATGGCAGAGGCATGGTATGTTGCTTTTTAAATTTTGTTTTAAATAAAGGAGAAAATGTACATTTGGACCAGGGTACCAAATATGAGGAAGTGGTTTTGCAGTAGGAAAAAATTACTTGTGAAACGCACAAATTGATCAGTTGTAGCTTTGTAAAAGGAACAGCCTAAAGTAGTGGGAAAACATACCTGAATCTGTGCGAGTGGGGAACACAAAGAAGACATAATGATGTTCAGTAGCATTAAAGGCTTTGCTGTTTACTTTCATGCATTCAGTGTAATGACAGTTTTGTATATAATCAAAAGCAAGCCACTTTCTGCCATCATACCTTGTTCACATAACTTTTTAGGCAAAAGCTGTTTTGGATCATAGCAAAACTGTGTATGGATTAGTCAGTATTAGAGCTGACTGTTTTATAAGTCCTCAGACATGCAAATACTAGTTACAGATCCTGCTGCAATCCTGCCTTGGTCTGTGTGAAGAAGCTGCTGTACCATGAGTGAGTATGTTTGCCTGCAGGATGCCAGTTGCAGGTGTGACTGTGTGGCAGGCAAGCAGGCAGACCCAGGCTCACGTTAATCTAGTTCACTCTAACATTTGTAGTGAAGATGTGGCAGCCTGGGGTCCACGAGTCTGCAGAGACCCTGGGTACTTATTTGGGGGTCAGTTTGTGGTGCAGCTCACATTGTTTCACTGTTATTGGGTGTGTCTGTATCATTCAATTGCAGTGCTGTATTGGAACAAGCATCACTCACTCTGCACGTGCTGTTTCCCATCCAGGAGTAGCAGAGCTGCCTTACTGGCATATGTGTAGTGCTGCACTAAGTTCTGCTGACTGGCACTTAGACGGCTATGCTTCTGAGTTGGGAGGTAGCATTTATTGCTTCTCCATATGATGCTGCCTGGTGCCATAACTAAATGAGTGGCACAGGTTTGGGGTTGTCTACCTGTGCCACGCTTTTGCTTCTGATGAGATGTAGACAAATCCATGGAGTTCCACTGACTGCTGTGGGACTTGGCAAGGGCACAGAGGTCCATTTACATAAATCTACTTCTAAGATTTTTGTGAATGGACTATTTATGTGAATCACTGGGTCTATGCTTTCTATTAATATAGAACAGATACTCTGGGCCTAAAGTTGGACCATGACTGTAATCAGTCTGTCCTGGACTAATACAGTTTACTTATTTAAGTTCCTGCTTTTACCTGATCCATGGTGGCAGTGGCCAGAGAGGGAGGGGATGCAGTTGTCATTCTTTTTCTGGCTTTTCTCCAGAAGCATATTGGAGACTGCTCAGAGGTTTGGGAAGTTAAGTACACCCACTTTTTGAGGTTACTTGGACTGAAGATAGGAAGGAGCTAAAAACGGTGCATGTTATCATCTACTTTCAGGAGGCTGTGCCATGGATAGTATGTGTGTGTGTAGCCAGTGATGCTTTTTTACTACCTTGCTTTGTATCTTCTGTGGAACTCCAGCCTGCTGGCTGATAGTAGTGCGCCTGGGGAGGGAGACTGGGTAGAAGGAGGTTTTGTGATGCAGGGTTGCCTAATGTGTGTGTCAATTAACACATCCGCTTTAAATGCTACCTCATTGTGCATCTGCTCACTTCTGCTCCCTTTTTGGAGAGGCTGTGAACCAATGCTTGTTGACAGAGTTGCTGTGTTAATGGCTCAGCACTAGGGGGTAGAGGATTTGCCTTCCATGCTAGGTTTTGTTCTAGTGATATTTGCTCTTAAAACAAGCTGTGCTTCCAGGAGTTTGATCAGCTTATCTGACCATGCACAAGGACTCTGATTTTTGTAGCTGTGATTTCATAGTACTTACCTACCCCGGTTGCTGTCAGACTGGATTTTGCTCTCTTGTCCTGCAGTTTCATTACTAAGCTAATAACAGGTCAAGATGCATAACTTCTGGCCGCTAGCTTGTTTGCTTCTGTAACAGACAGGCCCACCTAATGACGTGGAGCACATGGTCCAGGCAGAGTGTCTATACAACACGTTCCTAAGGTTCATGCAGGGAAACCAGGCAGGTCTTTAGCCTCTGTTCCATTCCCATTTGCAAGCCGTGGTGTTTCCTTTCTCTTCTTTGTCATTTAATAGCTGATTTATATTTAAAGTTTCAGTTAGTTTTGCAATATTAGGGGTGGGTGGCACATAAGAATAGTTTTGCTGGCACACATGCTGCCTAATCCATCCATCCAAAGCACTCATGGGGCTTTAAGCTGCATCTACAGGCAGTGGGCATAACTCTTGGCAAAACTTTGCTAGTGTAGATCAGACGCAGGGGACAGCAGCTGCTCCTCCGATTAGTTACTGGGGAAGAATACCTTTGACTTCAAAAGGAGCCAGATCAGGTCCTGAGCCTGTGTCTAAATCCTGTTTGGGATTGTTTCATATTCCTGGGGTTGAATCGGGCATCTTCCCTCAAATACCTCTGCTGAAGAGTCTCCCCTGCCTAAATTTCATGAAACTATCAGGCTACATGTTTTGTTTTGTTTTTTAAAGCAACAGATGCCCATATTATCTTGTTGGGGTTTTTTGGTTTTGGTTGTTTGTTTTTTTTGTTTTGGTTTGGTTTTTTGTAGTTTTGCTGACTCCAGAGAAGACCCTTGCTGAAAGGTACTGCTTCCTCCTCCTGATCAAGTCTGCCATAGCAACCAGTTATTTTTCAGAGGGTTAGAAGGGACCTCAGAAGTCATCTAGTCTAACCCCCTGCAGAGATGCAAGGCTCATTACTCCTCAACTATTCCAAGCAGATACCTGTCTAACCTCTTCTTGAAAACCACCAGAGAAGCAGCTTATTCCACTGTCCCAGTGTGGAATAGAGGAGAACAGTTTTTTCCAGACTTGTCTGGAGCAGTAAAATCCTTTGGCTGGGCATCAATGAACACTTAAGTCTTTTGTAGTAGTTAGGATGGGCTTTGCTGTTGCCTATAATGGTGTAGCAATGGCTGCACAAAGTTCCATAACTTGTGGTAAAACCTTCCTCAGGGCACAGTGTGCCTCCTCCCTCCCCAGTTGTAACCATTTAGAATAGTCTGTAAAACAAGAGATAAAGAAATGAGACTGCTGCTCTGGACTGTGACTCAGGCTTCATGCTGGTCAGTTAGTCGTTGCTCCTCAGTTCTCCTGCTGTAAAAAATAAGCATGATAATTAGCTGCTCTGCAGGTGTGTTTTGAAACTTAAAAATTGTCTGTAAAGCATCCTGAGTTCAATGGATGGAAAATGCTACAGGCAGGTGAAGTATTATCATGCATTTGAGGAAGGTCATTATTCTTTAGGCTTCAGCATCCTGCTTTATCAAATCCATTCTGTCTGCTGCCTGTAGCTCTGCTGTGCTGGAAGTCTCTTTTAGAATAGTTGCCTTCAAGGATGGTTAAATTAAAACACAGTTGCCTCTTACAGCTTAGAGGAACAAAGTCTCTTTGTTATATTCCATATAGTCTGTTGTAATGGCCTTGCAAAAATCCAAAGTGATTGTACAGTTCAGGAATGAGATTTAACCTAGTTGGTCCTGTCCATGTTTTAAGACTGACATGCATTTTAACAGCATCAAGTGTGCTGTGTTACAGCGTAGTCTCCCAATATTACTGTCCTCATTGTACTTAAAGTCTAGTTTGGGGAGCTTTCTAGAGCAGGGAATGTCTTATAACAATTATGTATCTGTGGCATTGTGTAACTGCTTAATACAAAGCAAGCACTGAGCTTATTTTGTACCTCTGCCTTTCCCTCTGCCTCGCCTACTTTCCTTGCATTTAAAAGGAGTATGACATTTCCCTGTACCTGACTCCTGCCAGACAGTCCAGATAACTCTTCTTCCTCTCCGCTCCCCAGAGGATGTTTAGCAGTCAGAGAAATCCTCTAAAAGGGATGGATTATTTATGAAATGCATCTCTGCCTTTCCTTGCTCAGCCAGCAGAGGGCTCTGTTGGAACAATATGCCTCAGGCTTATACTCCCACTTCGAGAGGAATGGGCTTTCCTTACACCTCTTGCTTTTTGCATGTGCACAAACACCATTGCTTTTTTGGTTGCCAGGCTCTGTAATTGGGCTAAATACCACTGGGAGCTTGGCTACTATATAGTTAGTAGCATCAGATAAAGACTTGTCTGGTGCATGCTATCTTTCCTGTCTGCTGTGACACGTGCCACCTTCTGTCATCTTCCCAGTGTTTACTTTCCTGTATATGCTGCTTTTGTACCCAGAGCCTGTGCCTGGCTTCAGGAATGAACATTGTCAAGCCAGTGCAAGGGATATGCTTCCCCCAAAATTCCCTTTGCCCAAATGTTAATTTCCTGACTAACTACAAATAGGAAACCTACCCTGCCTCACTGCAAGGATTCACTCCTGGGGCCTTGGTACAGCACTAGCCAGCTGGATGACGGCTGTGTGTTCACCCTCCTAGAGGTATAATGTTGCCTTTTTTTTTTCTCTTCTCGGATTAACCTGTCCTGTGTGGGGGAGGCTAAAAGAAGACCTGGCCTAGGGAACTTTTCTTACCTGCTGAATTGTCTATTTCCCTCTGCAGGAGGTTGGCCCCACGATGGTGGGAGATGAGCATTCTGATCTGGCTCTGATGAACTATCTGGGAGCCACTAAGAGGAACATGCTGGGGAACCATTTGTAAGTACTGCTGTGCTGCTGCTTTCTTCTACTCTTTTCCTTGCTGTCTCCAGCTCTCTTGCTGGATTTACCCATCCTTTTATCTAGACTACAAGGTTTTCTTTTCCTGAGACTCTCACTGGGGCCTTGCCTGTGTGCAGTGTGTCTCCTGTTCGTTGGGTCACCGTGCTCAGAGGACAGTGCTTGGGACCTGGTTGTGCTGTGTAGCCTCCTGGTAAAACTGAAATATGGGACATCCTTAGTTCTCAGAAACCGTCTGGAGAAGACCCACTGTTCAGATGACTGACTTTGTTTAGATAATTGAAATCCAACATCTTGTGAGGGATTATCTATGCTAGCACATGGTGCAAAATGTAAAACCAGAGCAAGTTTAACAGGAGGGTCCTGAATACAGGCAAACTTAAGAGAACACTTTGTTATACAGTGCAAGTTGTTACAAGTTGGTTATTTCAGTGGCAAACTTGTTTTAATGGGGTTGTGATAATTGAGGATGTATCTTCGTTGGCAGAGTGACTGAGAGGTCTGCAGCACTGGATTAGGGCTCCAAATCCCTTTGGGGGGCTGTGGGCTTGTAGCTGCCATAGTCTGTTTTTGCGGGGGGTTGCCCCTAGGATCAACTCCAGTGACTGGTAGTGAGTACTTTTGAGCACTCAGCAGCCTCCCTTCAAATATGAATTATGGCAATGAGGGGTGCACCGATAAACATTTTTATGGCTGGGTTTTAACCAGCCATATCAGCTGACACCAATCTGATTGCTGATATGCAGCCTGACAGCTTGGAAAGTCCATCTGGTAAGTCGGGGGGGAGGAGAGGGCAGATCGAGGCCCCCATGGTGAGTTAGGGAGTGGGGCAGGGGCTGCCCAGCTGGGGAAGGACAGGACAGGGCAGGGGTGTGGAACAGAGCTGTAGGCGGCTTGTCTGGTGTGGGGGCGTGGATCCCGCTGCTGCACGTACTCCGGGGGAGGTATGGGGAGCATATCCCCCCAGATTTTTGCACAGGGCAAGGGTGGGCTGCCCACTGCAGCCTCTTCCTGGTGGCGGGGCTGGGCCGGAGCTGCACTCAGGGTGAGCGGGCAGGGGGGGCAGTGCTGGGAGGTTACGGGGTGGGCTACAGCCACTCAATTTGCTGTAACCTCCCTCCTACCACCAGTCACTCATTCCAAGCAGTCCCAGCCCAGCTCCACTGCCCACGGCAGGCATCCCACCCTCACCCTGCACACACATCTGGGGAGCATAAGCCCTCCATGCCTCCCCTGGGGGTGTGCACAGCAGGGGGAGCCGCCCCTCCCCATCCTCCTGGATGAGCTGCCTGCGACTGTCCCATGCCCTGCCCTGCACTGGCTGGGCAGCAGCTGTCCCAGCCCCACTCTCTCCCTCGCTGTGGGGCCTTGATCTGCCTCTGCCCCTCCCCTACTCCCCTTCTCCCACACAAACTTACCTTCCAGATGCTGTTCTTCACAGTGCTGGGCTGCATTCCTGGCCACGTACATACTGAGGTTGCATGCATGCACACGGCATTTATCAGTGACATAATCGGCCACATTGGCCAAAAAAAGACTATTGCTCATAATGTCAATTTTCCTTTTATTGGTTCTGATATGACATGGACTGATGTATCAGTGCACCTCTAATGGCATTGGTGGTCAATCTTTTGGCCCTGTGGACCAAATGAGTGGCTTGGGCCCAATGTCATTGCTCCTCTGCTGCCAAATTTTTGGACCCATGAGGAGCCCCATAGGCCAGATGACCTGGTGCCAGGGGCTGAATCTGGCCTTTGGTCCAGGGTTTGAGCTTCTTGAATTACGGCAGTCTTTTATCTCCATCACTGGAAGCTTAAGCGCAGTTTTGACAAATATTTGGCTCAGCAGCTGCAAGCATCGGTAGTTATTAATGGCTCCACATAAGAATGGCAAGAGGTTTTGACTGGAATTCCACAGGGGTCTGTTCTGGGCCTGCTGCTGTTCAACCTGTTCATTAATCATTTGGATGTTGGCATACAAAGCTTCTTGAGCAAGTTTGCAGATGACATGAAACTGGGAAGGATCGTGAACATGTTGGAGGATGTGAGTGCAATTCAGAAAGATCTTGACAGATTGGAAAGTTGGGTTAGATCTAGTAGGATGAAGTTCAATGTGGACAAATGCAAAATGGTACACCTCAGGAGGAATAATCAAAAACACAAATATAAAATGGGTAACGCCTGACTGGATGGCAGCACGATGGAAAAAGACTTGAGTCTTGGAAGATCACAGACTCGATATGAGTCTCCAGTATGGTGAAGCCACACAGAAGGGGTGAATGTGACTCTTTGGGGGCTGCATCAATCGAAGCATTAGGTGCAAGACACACGGAGTGATAATGCCTCTCTACTTGGCACTGGTTAGGTCTCATTTGAAGGGTTTGAAAGGCTGAAGGAGAGACTGGTGGAGCTAGGCATGTTCAACCTGTGGAAAAGGTACTTCAGAAGGGGCATGATAGCAGTCTTCAAATACTTGCAGTCAGTATGAACTGAGGTGCTTTTGGCAGATGGGGAAGTTGAGGCACTAAGGGGGTTAAGTTACTGCCTACATCACAGGCTGCGGTTAGTATGTGGGAGCTCTAGGCTGCTCACTGTGCACAGACCCTATGCTGCCTCATCCATTAAAGGCTGGTTACCATCACCATCCAGTGGGATTTGACCTGAGGTAGGATGTGCGTGTGGCCTTAATTGAGAATCATCTTCAGCATATTTGCCAATAATGGTTGCTTGAAATTTCCTGTTGAAATCTAGTATTTAGCTTTTTCACTTGTAGAGCTTTGGAGAGGTCAGAGCATCTCACAAGGATTTATGTAGACAGTGAAACTGAAGCAAAGGAAGGGAGTGTGTCAAGATTGCACAGCAAGTCCCTGTCTCTCTATTAGATCTCACCAGCAGGAAGCATTTCCTGACACTGAGTTGAGACCTTTCCCTTATCTCTAATTATACCACCAACGCGGCACCCTGAATAACCCCCCTACATCTCCACTGTTCACATTCTTCAAATACTTGCAGGCTGGTATCAGCCCTCTGGAGCTCAAGTAGGGTTTTGAGTGGTTTTTTTGATCCTTCCTATAAATGAGTGCATCTGACCATGTGTCCCCAGTTGTTTTCTTGCTTTCATCTGAAGTTTCTCGTGGTAAGTAGCATTTCCGGTATGGAAGTATTCACTCATGAACACAATACCAGATGCAGCGTCCCCTGAGTTGCACAGCTACTGCCTGTCACCCCCAGTTCTCTAGTTAAGTTTCTGGCTCTTCTCGCTGCCAAGTAACACTGCAAGCTGGCAGCCAGGCAGTTCAGAGGGAACACAATGTCAGTTTTCAGATCTTTGAAAGGCTGTCATAGAAAGAGCTGGGGGGAGAAGAAATTCTTTTCCCTTGTCATGGAAGACAGGACAGGAGGCAGTGGATTTAAACTCAAGAAAAAACCATTTGGACTGAACCCCAGGAGAACCTTCTTAACTATTTTATTTTATGAAGAACGGGATAATGGAATAAGCTGCCTAAAGAAGTCATAAAACCCCAGTGAAGGAGGTTCTTTAGGGAGAGGCTTGAGGTTCCTTCCAGCTCTGATTCTGTAATTCTGTTTATCCATCATCACCCCATGGTTGCTGGTGTCCAGGTTTCCCCTTTTTATTGAGTACCTGACCCAGCGCTCACTGATGTCAATAAAAGCCTGTTTTGGCTTCCCAAGACTTTGCTTGGACCCTGAGTATGTGCTAGATACTGTTCTCCCCGGTGTATGAATTTTACATTTTTCCAGGTGGAGTCTTTCAGTGCTCTTCTCTGTCCATGTTTCTGATATCTCTTGGCTCTTATGTACCTTGATTGCCGACCCTGAGGTGGACACCTGCTCCCATTTTAGTATGAGTTGCAAGTGTTATTGACATGCTGCTTCCACTTTCACCTGAGTTCTCAGCCACTTATTCCTCTTTGAAAAAATTAATTAAAACAGCTGAGGGGAAGCAGTTAGACTTCTGTTGAATGGAGCCCACGTACATCTTTGAGTAGAGGAGGCGTGGGAGGAGGGAGAGGCGTCAAACAGAAGGAGCTCTTCTCAATTCCACCCTGCAAGCTGCAACTTTACAGATTGTCAGTGCAGCTCCAAAAAGCCCACTTGCTCCCACACTGGCAAACCTGAAACCAAGTCGGTTCTGCAGAATGCAAACTTAAAATTGGGGAAGGGGAGGTTTCAGACCCTTAGAAAGAGAGGACCTTCCCAATGTATGGTCCATCCAGCATCTGCCGGCAGATTGTGCTAGCATCACTTCTGCCAATCCTAACTGTGCCTAGCAGCAAGATAGTGGATTTTACCAGACTCTGATTGGTTTTACAGCTGCTATTCTGAACCCTGTGGGTGGCAATGAAATTGTCATGAATGTCAGTTTCAGGCTGGTGCCTGTGAAGCTGAGGGGCAGATGGCTGAATTATGCATGGGGACAGAGGATCGTAATGAAAAAAAGGAGGTTTGTGGAAGGATAAAGTAGAGAGATGCCTCAACCTTAAAGCAGCAGCAATGGTTTAGAAGGAGAAAATCCTTCTGGCTCCCAACAGCTGGGGAGGACCTTCAGAATGGTAAGACACCTGCAAGTGGGAAGCTGTTGCCAAAAGTTAAACCCCAAAGCATGCTTGTCTTACAGCATCCTTCTAGAAATACCAACAGCTGGGGTAGCGGAGATGGGGGCTTTCCAGTGGTGAGCTGCCCTGGTGGTCAGTGCAGGTGATGGATCCACTTTCTTCCCTACAGCTTTTGATTTTTGCCTTTGTCTTTGCTAGGAGGCAAAGGCAATTATCATCCTGCCTACTTGCTAGGATGGATTGGATGGATGCAGGATAACTTACCTTCCTTTAGCAAAAAGCAGCAGCTCTGTGTTGCCTCTGTATTTTAGGCTTTGATTGAGCAAGAGGAGGAGGAGAACCTGAAGAAAATAACTCCTTGGAACGCATCTAGGTGTGCCCAGAGGCGAACTGCTGCATTCCAGATGAGATGGCCCCGTGGAACCAGTTTGGAGCAGGCTGAAACTCTGCTTGAAGAGCGAAGCTTCTCTCCAAGCAAAATGAAGGGTCCTTTAGTTGCACTTGGGGCCCACGGGATTATCAGTCCACCAAACCTGTAAAACAGAGTTTTGCTCTGTAATAGAACCACAAAATCAATCCTATATTTAAGTTGTAAACTTGAACAACACATTCCAGTTGCTGCCTTTTGATGTCTGTCAGAGCTTGCAGAAGACCTGAGATGAATGTTCTGAGGGTGTGAGCTGTCTTCATTGGGGTGATACCTCTCAGTTCTCTAACATAACATTCAGATTAACCATTTGATTGCTCCTCTCCTTTCTTATAAACAGTCCTATTATGCTGCTGTGAATGGCACACTGTTTGCCGGGAGGGGGGTGGGATCTCAAATGGACAGTGTGTGGGGAAGTATCACTGCTACTCACAGCAGGCCTGTAGAGGCATATCTCTGGGAACATCTAAGTATCATCCCCAACATGCAGGAACCTAGTGTTTGGTGATGAGTATGGGGACAAACAGCTTTCTCCCTCACTTCTGTGACTGCTGCTTTTCCAGCTGCATGCAAAGAACACCTTCAAGCATTGGTTACAAGTGGTCATGCTGCTAGGCTTTCCTATAACGGCAAGGAGTAGCAAGTTTTGTTTTTTATCTGAAGGCAGATATTCTGCCTTTGTATGTATCTCTGTGCATTGATGTAGCCTTGGCCTTGGGCATAACCAAGCTGCAAGCCTGAGGAGCTCAACAGAGCATCGGTGATATTTTAAACATCTGCACAGACAAACCACTGGGAGTTGTCTCACTTTAGTGTCCCAAAGGGCAGATCTTGGGACTGCACTGCTCTTATTCTTTCTTCCCCTCAAGCTTGGGCTTGTTTAGGTTTGAGTCCCTGGTTCATTGTATAATTGAGGCATGCCTTTTGGTGGGATTTTTGGAAGGCAGAGTGGATAATGTAAATTAACATAGCTAATTTATAAGATCAAAGTTTGTTTTACAGACGCCAGGTAAAATTATTATCTCTGCTGGCTTTTAGCTGGGAGAGAGAATTTATAAACTCCAAACAGCCAATGTTACCAAAACAGGCTGTAAACACTAAGGGATGAATATTTGCTACAAATAGTATGTGGTCTTGTGATGAAGAATCAATGGAAGCCCTGATCCTACCTAATCTACCAATTTTCATAGGCTTCAGAAAGTTACAAGCTATCTCTGCCTCAGTCACCTCCTCTGCATATTGGGAATAATATTTACTTACCTCAACATGTGAGCTGAAATTGCACATGGGAAGTCTCTTTAAAAGCACTAAGTTCAAAGCCAGCTATAATAATACACATTATCTTTGCACCTCGTCTGTAATTACAGCAAAGTATAATGTGTCTGAGAAACAAAAATGTCTTCAGCAGACTTTTGCATCTCAGGATTATTGCACATATTAAAAATAACCACTAGTAATGCTTTGCTACCTTAACTATAACAGTTCTGTCTGGAAATTTCTTTGGGCACAACTATAGTCCATAACATGCATTATGTTAATAACTGAAAGTCAGAAAATGTATGGCCAAGACTCAGTACAGTTTTAACTCTGCTCCCACATCCAAAGTTATTATCAGCTTGTCTGGTGGTATGAGTCATACCCAAGCTAGAAAGCTTATTAAAATGCACAAATTATACCCCAAAAATGACACTAAAGAACTATTTAAGGTTTCAAAGTCAAGTGTGTTCTAAGTGGGTAAGCTTCCATGTACAACCATGATTTAGCACCTTTGTGTGTGAGAGAAGACTGTGATTTAGTGCAGCTTGGACCAGCTAGTTAGTGCCAGTTCCTTCAGGCCTTTGTTTAATCTCAGTCTCCCCATCTCTATTTCCAGCTGTAGACTGTCTCTTTATCCCAGTTTTCACATGTAGCTACTCCCTTCTCTTCCTCCTCCCACCAGTCTGTCTCTTGTCCTCCGTGTGCATTCAAGTCAGGCTACTTCCACCTCCGTGCTGCCTGGGGGCCAGCATGGAGAACACTGTCACATGGCTCTTGGGTCCTCTGACCAACCTCACAGCAGCCTGGAGAATATATGTGAAGGTAACTCCTGTTCAGCCCTCAGCTTATTTATCTAATAAGTGTGCATTGAGCAAAAGTGAACTTGATTTTTGAAAGGCTTAACACCTGAATTTGGCATCCTCTTCACAAGGACAGCAAAAGCTCATCCTTGATAAATGGCAAGCACTTGTTCCAGAGCATGGGTGTAGGGAGAGGTGGCAAGTAGCAGGGTTTCAAATAAACTGTAAAAATGTTTAACATGAGCAAAAAATATCTCTCATCACCTTGGAAACGCCTGAATCATTTGTGCTGAAATGTTCCTAAGCAATCCAGCCAGCTAGGTGCTCTGCATGAAAAAGCTCTGGCCTCAATAATCAGCTATTAGCAACTGGAAATAAAGTCTAGTAATGGGAAATGACAGGTAGCCTAAACTGCCCAGCTCTGTTCATAATTATATATGCACATGCACTTTCCAGTAAGGTGAAGATTCAGAGGTATTTTTTTTTTTAATGAAGCCCAAAGTGGAGACAGTGGGGAGTTCAGCTGCCCATTTGATGAAGCTAGTGACCCATGGCTTTAGACAATTAATCTTTGAACCACACTCCAAATTTTAGGCAGCTTTTAGATCTTGGCAAACTTTCTCCTCAGTTTGGAACTTGTGGTTATTAGCTTGTCTAATATGATGAGACATTACACACTTGCTGGGTTTTATGTTAGTGTGGGGACACCAAGGTCTTGCATGGGTTTAGAAGGTGTTGCCAGAATTACAGGGTCCCTCTGGCAAGCAAAGTTGTGCCTCTTCCTTCCTCACCTTTGTTTCTTTCCCTCTTGTTTGGCTGCAGCTGGGAGTATTATGTAAATGATGCACCCCGGACCGTGTTGGACAAGCTGGAGAACTATGGCTATCGAGTGGTCAGCATGACTGGGGTGGGGCAGACACTGGTCTGGTGTCTGCATAAAGAAGACAACAATGTTCCACCGGGGCGTGACGTCAATGTTGATCCTGTAAAACTACAGCCTAGAAGTGAGCTTCCCCAATGAGAATCTCCTGTATGTTCCACTTTCCAGCCACGTTCAGGGGAAGTGCTGCATAGTCAAAACTTCACATAATGGAAAACTGCCATCAATGCCATTACATGAGCCCCAAGGAGAGGTAGGTTTGCCCATTCAGTTCTGAGGATAAAAGTCATGCATGGAGAATGAATGGCCCCAAACTCTGCATTAGTCTCAGTGGTACTTTGGAACACATTTACAGAGTTAATCTTGTCCTATGCAAGTGTTTGAGTTAGGTCAAGTCCTGGCTTTGTCTCTGTGGAGCAGTGGAGTACTAAGCTTCTTGCTTAGGGGGATCACACATGGGGGTGGGCCAAGCATGGGCCACTTGTTACACAGTCCCCAGAATAGGAGGTCAAACAATACCCCAGTTGCTGCTGTTTGAGGAAAACCTCTCCTTGGGCATGTCCCCCCACTCCTAGGATTAAGGTTAGGGATGCACCGATAAAGATTTTCTTGGCTGATACTGATAGCCAATGATTAACCAACCATATCGGCTGATGCCGATCCAATAATCGATCTTTAGTAATAGTGAAAGCCATTTTAAACTACTGACTACTCCTGCTGCTCGCTGGGACCTGTAGTCTGTTGTGGGCTCAGGCTGGCAGCAGGATGCAAAGCCTGGACCACGCTCACCAGGGTGCTCCAGACGTGGCCATAATTATCAGCTACAATGACCAAAAAAGCTGATAGCTAATAATGTCATTTCTCCTTTTATTGGTGCCGATCAGATAGCCAACTGAAATATCGGTGCACCCCTAATTAAGGTTTCTGTGGTCAGACTCTGTCATCCCCAAAAGAACCATTCCAGCATAACTGGAAAAACTGCAGAAATATCTTTGGGCAGTATATCATTGAAATAAGGCCCTGTGAATATTTCATGTTTTGGCTATGTAATCTTACCAACTGCAGGTCACTGATGGATTGACTTGAGCTGTATGTATGATCGACTGCTGCTGGTGGATAAACTAATAAAACTAATAAAAAGGTAATGTAAAGAGCCTGACTCCTTTCCATGGGCCACTCTGAATTATCACAGCTATGTCAGTGAAAAAGTTACCTAAAACACTCTTACCTCCCATGTGAAATTCCCAGACCTAATCTTGATAGGCCTCAAGCAGCCACAATGTCTTGGAGTCCTTTCAGCTGGCACCCCTCAGAAATTAGGTCCTCAGCTATGGTGCAGCTGCCATAAAAAAAAAAGACTATATGACATCTGTTCTGCCTTTTCCTAATAAGGGAAGAAATTATGTGAGAGCTGTGCAGACTTGAAAGATAGTATGCCTTCAGCCCTGCCCCAAGAAAAGATTCCTATAGCCATTTTTCTTAAAAAACAATGTTTATTGATTTAAATTAAGAGAACAATTTTTTTTAACGAAGGGTAGGGGTTGGGAGGAGGAAGGTGGAATGGGGTGGGTGGCAGGGGCAGGGAACTACTTCTCCATGCTAGGTATGAGACTCTTCTTCATCTTCCCGCTGGAGCTGCTCAATCAGGTGCTGTCTCTCAGCTGCTTGGCGCATCCGCATCATCACCAAGCTTTCGTAATCCCGCTCCGAGAGCACGGAACCCTACAGAATGAGAGCGTAAGAGGACCCAGGTGGTCAAAACCATCCTATATCCCAGGCTTATGATTCCCAGAAATCCTCCTCATTACTCCATGAGACACCCCTATGACATTTTGAATGGAAAGGTCTACAGCTGTTATTCCAGCACCACTAGGGCAATAGACTAACAGAGCTATGCACCACATCAGGTTAGAAGAGAAATTTGCTACTGGAAGTAGCCAACAGACAAGTGTCTGCACTATGATAGATATCCTCACTGGCAGCAGCAGCAGAGAAAAGGCTGAAACAGCGTATGGAGATTAATTCCTTTCCCTTCCCTCTTCCCATCCTCCCCTCCCAGGTTCTACAGTGTGTCCCACCATGTCAAGGCAAGGCTTGGGGTGGCATAGAGAAGCTTGTATTGCATTCTGCCAAATGTGAGGAAGGACTTACGCACACTGGAATTCAGCAAATTCACAACCACTGCAACACTTTTAAACAAACAGAAAGAAACAATGCACTAGGCTGGCACATTGTGCTGGTGTCTTAAAGGGGCATGGTTGACTTTATCTGGTCAATATTTATGCCTGCCCCTTGCTCCATTTTCTTAAGTTTATGGGGTTCTTCTACACAGAAGATTCACACAACCAACTGAAAGTCATGTATAACATACTGTCTAATATACAAAGGGACTAAATGAAGGAATCTTCTCTCTTGGTTTCCTTCAAGCAAAGGAAACAACTTCAGACGTAAGGTATTCTGAATTAATGGCATTCTTCAGTGATATCTGTTTTCTGTTCTTCACTCAAGTTTTTACTGCTAATCCTAGATTTATTGTTCTTGGTCACAGTAGTACAAACCGTTTCAAAGTAAATCTGGTATGCTAAAAGACACTCTTCTTTTACTGAATTTCTGACAGCCTTCCCTCAAGAATTAAACTCTTGCCATTTCAAATACTGTCCAAGTACAATAAAAGCACACTGGGTAACTTGTTCAAGTTCTATAGCATCATTAGCATCTGATGCCAAGCATACCATGTAATTAAAACCCTGGTGCAGTCTTGCATGTATCTTGCCAGTTACAGAACCAAAAACCACTGTAAAATGTAAGCCTCCCTAAAGTGCGTTTACTCAGAAGTGGCTGTATAAAATTAGCACCTGCCAGATCTGCTCCCATGTGTTTCAGAATCCTTTGCTTTTCTGACAAAAACACATTGGTATTAACAGTGAGGAACCACTCTAGTGATGATACCTCAAGCCTCAGTATTTAATCCAAGGTTCACTGCAGAATTTTTAGTATGAATATGCCCCCCCTCACTTCAAGGTTTATTCAAGATATTGCAAAGCTTTGAGACACTTGTCTTCTTCACTTGATGCTCAAAAGGTAAAAAGCCTTCCTGACCAAAAAGAAAAAGAAACTGAAAATGAAGAGAGCAAATTTCACATTTATCAGATCTATTCAAAGCTGTCCAAACCAATACTGAATGTGGCTATGACAGCGAGGCATGAAAAGCCTCTTAAAGCAAAACTAAGCACCTGCAAGAAAGTCAGCAGGTGTGAATTCACCATCATATCCCAGGAAGGAGGCTCCTCTAGCTGAGGGATAATACGAGATACCAGGAGGATACAGAACTAACTGAACTCTCAGAACGGGAAGCTTGGAGGATGTTACACTGTAGGTAGTATCTTAGCAACTATATATATTAATAACCTTTGATACCATGAGACAACAGAAAGGATGTAGTTAATACCCAAGACAGGCCATACTTGGGCCAAATAAAATGAACTGTCTGCAGATGAACTAGGATGATTCCCAGCTAAACCTGAAGCCCTTCTCCAATGAGCACAGATTCCTTTTTGCCATCTGCCTGGCTTGATTAATTAGCCAGCACGAGGCTCTTGCATGTGAGTCACCAATACCAGAATGTGTTGATCTCTACCTCGCATTCTAGTGTTAAAAATAAGAGACACAACCCTTCCCCTCCATCTGTGGATCTCAGTGACACAGCCAGCTCTGTCAGAAATATCTTTAGGTAGAGCTATAGAGGGAGAATCAAAGTGCTGCTGAGGGGGGAAAAAATCATGTTGACAGGTCCCTCAATTCAAGTGCCTCTCAGGAATCTTGCCTTCTCCTCAGGCAGTGTGGGCTGATGCTTCACCACTCTACACACCTACTTCCTGCAATCCTGGCAATTACCAATAGTGTAAAACCCAGTTTCTGACGTGGCTGACTCAGCAAGGGTTTGGCTCAAAACAAATACATATGCACAAGGAACTGCAGCCTGGGAAGCAGTGACAAGAGACAGAAGAGAAGAGAGATGAAGAGAAAGAGATTTGGTGGATTTTAACAGCCGTTTCCAAACCAACTTAGCCCTGCCTGGAGTTGCTGCTCCCAACATACAAGCAGTGTCTGGTGTGGTTCTCTGTACCAAGTGCTTCAGCTACCTCTCCTTTCTACCTGCCTAACTCTGCCCTGCTCCAATACAAGGTAAGTCCCTCTTCTAAATTAATTTTTTCTAATGTTTGCTCATTTCAAATTCCTCTCAGACTATTTCTTTCACTGTCCTGTGTGAATGGGCTAATGAATCCCCTTCCTATCCACCTAGTGCAGTTTTTGTATTGTGCCTTTCACCATGAAAGTGCCTGGTTACCATGGCATTAAGTGCCCTTTTGTTCTAGATGTTGGGTGAATTTGCTCTCATTGTGACTACCTCCACTTACTGTTCTTCATTAGTTCAGATCTGCAGCACAGATCAATACACACAGATCTCATATTCCCTTCTATACTAAAAAGGTAGATTTCCATATAAACAAAATGGGCTAGCGACACCTTACCATAGGGATGTGGTAGGGATGAATTTGTATTTCCTATAATACCAGCCTCTTTTGATTTCTTTTCCTTCCAGCTACCAGAGTTGGAAGGTAGGAGACTGTTCCTGACTGGGTTTTCACTAATCGTGCCATTAGAGTCCTGAGACTGATCTTCCTTTCCTCATCTCACCATGGATACTTGGCGGAGAGGATCCATTAAATCCTCAACGTTCTTCAAGCGTTTTTCGCTCAGGAGGCATAAAAAGCTGGGCAATCAAGTCATCATCTTGAATCAGAATAGCAACACAATTGACAACGATGGGCAGTACCATAAGAGGGAACTAAGGGACCTGAAGGACAAATCGGAATACCTGTCATGCCAGAGTGAGCAAAACCTTGCCAAGGCACAGGCACCTCCCAAGCCTCCCCGGCTGTACCTGGACAGTTCCAGCTGCCCCAACATAATCGACCACACAGATTCCCCCTCTAAAGACATCTCCTTTTCCAGTGCCAACCATCAGTACCACAAAGCTACTCAAACGCAACAGGCTCACATCCACAAGGACCAGGCTACAGACTGGGGGACTGCTGAGAGAGGCTCCCAGACTGGCTCACCTCTTTATGACCCGTCTGACCCCTTCTTTTCCTTCAAAGTGGACTTGGGGCTATCACTCCTTGAGGATGTGCTGCAGACCCTCAGGAAACAGAATCCCAGAGATTACACTATTTGAAAGCACCTTCCCTTTTATTTTTTTGAGTTAATCAGCAGGACTGACAGGTTTTTAGCCCTAACAGAGGAAGGGATACCATTGTATCCCTTACTCTGAGGGTTTGTCTTATTGTCCTGCCTTACCCACCACAAGCTGCTCCTGTCCTTTCCTACAGAGCTGTCAGTCACCCAACCACCTGCTGGAATAAAGAGAAGCATTTCCATTCACCAGACTACTCTGGAAATTTTTCTCCTGCTGTTTATCATGCACCTCATCCTGGTAAAAGAAATCACTTTACTTGGCAACACAGAGACTTACTATTTTTGGAGCATAATTGAGACTACAGAAGGTGTGGGAATCAAGGTGGATGGAACATGCATGATTCATGGGTTACTGGACAGTCTGGATGGGAAGGCAGCTCCCACATTTCAAAGCTATAGCTGAGGAATTGAGAACCTGTCCAAAGAGAGAAACTGGAGTGTTTACCCATATCACAAGCGGAGATCCTAGAAATGAAGATTAAGGATGTTCCTTTTTCTGGTGGTTTCTTTCCCAATAGCTCTAGTGCGATGGGCATTCATAGTCACCTTGTCACTGAAAACAGGTAAGCAGCCAGAAAGACTCCTAATATAGGATCAGCAAATTCTCCATCTTGCTAGCAGGAGAAGGAGCTTCTGTAGATACTGCTTTCTGGAGCTTGTTCTGAATAATCAGCTGTAAAGATATATGTGAGAATAAATGTATCTGTTTTAAATGTGTCTTTGCTTTTTTTTATCAAAGAGCACGGCTCATATATATGGTAATCAGTTGCTCCAGGTCTAGTGCTCCTTGGTCCCTTAACCCCCTCCAGCAAGATGACTCCATAGCTCCAATTTGTTCTGCAGCTCCTGACAGGAAAGACTAGAACTGCAGCAGCTGTGACATCCTTCTCCAACCACAGCACTGAGAACATCACTCAGATGCTAGACCTTTTACTAAACCCCCTGAAAGAACACTGCTGCCCATCTGAGATACCAAGCTGTTGCCAAGCCTGGCATCAAGGCTTAGAACAATTTGGGTAAGTGCCTAGTTCTAATCAAAATGTTGCTGCCACAAAAATTCTGCAGTAATTCTTATCACTGACTAGTGGTGCCTTTTTTCTAGGGGTCATTAATAAAAGGCATCTGAGGCATTCAGCCTTTGGGCAAACCATCTCAAAGAAGGTGCAAATAGCTCTTATCTCAGTAAATGTAAAAGCCATGCAACACTAAGGAGCTTAGCTCTCATCTATATGACAGAGTTCTGCCCTTAGAACTGATGGCTGCAATGAGTAGAGTTCACACCCTGTAGTCACGTAGCTGGGGCAGCAAAACCCCAGGGCACAAGCAGCTCTGCTGGCAGAGGGCATCTTCTCCCTACAGTTTGTCCTTTGAATAACTAATACAGATCTGGTGGCAGAAAAACTCCTGCTAGCTGAGCTGTGGCTATACTAGGGGGTTCAGTTGCTAAAACACTGGCACCACAATTAAAGTGGCAGCAGCCTATCTAGGGTACAGGACAGTGTCAGAGAGAAAGCTGTGCTCAGCACCTGTACAATAGAATTGCTGGATATCTAGCTACCAGTGGAAGGCCAATGAGCTGGTAGAAAGCTCCCACAGACAACCTTGCTAGGAGGGAGCTTTGCATGCTGCATTTGCTGCAAATCACTCATTCAGTACTAAAATATTCAGTGCTGCTGCAATGTCAGAAAAAAACTTCCTGCCCTTAGCAGCTAACAGTCCAGAACCACAAGCTGTTTCAAAGCAGAAAAAATAGCAAGTGTACAATCACCAAAGTGCTGTGGCTTTTCAACAGCATTCTGAAGGAGAGTATATAGGTAGCTTCATTTACAGGAAGTGGAAAGCTTATCTAGGTGTATGAGTGAATTAAAAGCATGAAGTAGCCAAGGGGAGTGGTAGAAGAGTGAGGGCAAACTGAAGAGAATAAGATATAGGTGGAGCTGAAGAACTTGAAACTGAGAACCCTGAACTTAATATAAGATGGGAAGGATGATATGGAGTGAATGATGAAAGATGAAGTAGGGGTGGCTGGGGCAGCAGAAAAAGCAGCTCTTTCAGAAACTGCATTTTGGATGGACTGGAGAGGAAGGAGAGCTGAAGGGGAAGGGGGAAGGCAGGGCG